TATACATATATATAGACTGAGTACGTAGCTACGAGTTTTGCGAAGATTTACAATTCGAAGATTACTTCCGGATAACGATACACCCACGCATCCTTGTCGTAGCTATCTGCCACAAAAAGTCATGGATAGCCCTGATCTTTTATTTTCATTTTTATATTTCGATACAGGTTGTCAAACTGACGTAGAGGAAAATGATTCGAATATTACGAGAAATTCGTAATGGAATTGTATCTAGTATTAAAAGATTCAATATTTTCAATAATGAAATGTACCTTTTTATTCATTATTCATTATAAGTATGTAAAAAATGGAAATTTCTAAGAAAGGTACAAATAAAAATATTAAATCTTTGTTTAGTAGAAATTAGTAAAAGGTAATTGCATATTAAAATGATTCCGCTCCTTTCTCACAAAGTTTACATGACACGGTCTTCCGGAATTTAATATTAACAATTCTTTTAATCTAAAATAAAGATCCGAACCTGAAGATTATAACCAATCCGTATCCATACGTGATAATAAAATCATTTAACAGATGGTATGACATTTCATGTTGTTCAATTGAATAAGGATCAATCCATGACTTTTAGTCCTTGCGATGATTACACGTGATTATTCGCAGTCTAAGCTCACACCTACAGAATCTCAATTAAAGTTTGCTCACTTACGTAACGTAAACACACAATTATCGATCTGAATAGCGGAATTTCTATCTATACGTAAAGTACGTGGATTTATTTCAATTATCACTTAATTATCGATCGAGGTACTTTGTACGATTTTACCGACTGAAAGGTACGTGATTGTACAGAAACATATTGATTGTTACGAAACCTAAAACACAAAGGATAATGGTAAAGTAGGTACAGTAAAAATAATCGTATACAGTAACATAATACATAATCGAACAAAATATATTATTAATATATTTATAATTGTGTATTATAAAGGTACTGGCGATTGCGTGAGTATGGCACTCCATACTTACATAAAATCCAATAAATATGTGGAACCGAATTCTCGAATCAGAGGCAATCTATTTAACCTTTGCTTTCGATATTTTATATTTTCTCCGATATAGTCAGGATCTTCAGAAAAACCTAAGAATTTAATAACTCAATATCAAGAAATTTTTGTTCAAACTCGTTCCATTTCTTTTTGCTAGTGGATAGTAAATTGGTTATGTGATAAGTATAGTGTATTAAAGCTATAGTAAATTTCGACTTATATCGATATATCATTCGATCATTGAATTACTTACGTTAATAGTAAAGCAATTTTTATGTGACGTGTTGTTACGTCAATTGTACACGTTTAAGCATATTGACATGGTCAATGATAGAGTATAATCGATACATAAATAAATTTCCAGAATAATATCTGAAAATTTGTTTTCTTCATCATTAATACACCAATGATGAGTAAAATAGTAAATTTCAAGGCGTATAAGTATATTAACCGATTATGATGATTATTTAACAACGTATTAATACGATAGTAACGAAGTTACTAATAATTAGCTACTAATAATATTCACGATTTTAATTATTACCTTAAGAGAAGGTATTGTCAATATATCAATTAGAAATATCACATAATTTATAATGTATAGATAAGCAATATGACATAGGTTTGCACAAATTCGAGAATTGGTTCGCAATAAGCTATCGTTGAATTAGCTTAAAAATCCTGGTCAATTGTTTTTCACGTGTATATCGAAGATGGCGTGTAAAATGCAAATCATTTTTTCTTCACGAAAGAAAATATTAAATTATTTCATGCGATACAAAGACGTATAAAAGAACGTAGGTCAGTTAAAAAATTCAAATAAATTCATTTCGAGTAAATATTCTCAGTAATAAAACAATCATAAATGCTAATAAAATTATTGCAATTCTTGTTCATACTTATATTTGCAATATTGTGCGCTAAGAGGAAATTTTCTTCTATAATTATCCAAATATAAAATATAGCCAACCTATGTTAAATCACTCGCATCTTCGATATACAACGAGTTTGCAATATCTTCAATTGCAAGCGTAAAGAGAAATAAAACGTGGGTAAAATATATTAGTTAATATATCTTCATTTAAAATACAGAACCAATATTTAATTTCAATTAGCAACACAGTTTCATTTTGCACAGAATAAGATAAAAGGAATGTATATAAAATATATAAAAATTAATCTCGTATAACTGTTTTGCTAAAAAGATATAAAAAAAACGCGAACAAAATGTTAATAAAAATGCATATTATCACACGTAGGCATATATGGCAGTTCGAAACCAGGGGAATCTCTTTAGTTTCTTTCTTACCAACGTATCCAAGTCGTTAAATATCAATATAGTTTCGATTTATTATGTTAAAAATATAATAAATATCATGTTTTATTTCAATGTTTTGTAGGATATTTCGAATTCTTTCAAATTGAATAAAAGTTGAATAAAAGATTCGAGGGACGTAAAAATTGTACTATAGGAAAATTGCACGAAGTAAATTAAAATTTGTTCCTAGAAACAATGTTGCTAATGAAAGGAAAAATACTAGATCATAGAAGAAGAAAATCACAATTACAATATTTACAAGCACATTCAAGAAATCACTTTCGCGATTCTGTTAATTTCTCCAAGGCCAAAATGGCGAGAATTAATTATCATCTATTCATACAAGAAATAAGACGATTCGTCTCGATCAATTTTTGGTCGTTAATAAAATATTGACATTTGGTTAGTTAGGTATGACTGAAATACATCATTGTAAATTACGTAAATATAGAGTAAAACAAACACCTTACGTTATAATCCGAGAACGTAGCTATGCTATTTTTTTCACGTTTTACTTAACTAGGCTGGAACGACAAGGCGTATTCTTCTTTCTCCTCGTTTTCTGCCATTCTCTCTCTCTTTCTCTCTCTCTCTCTCTCTCTCTCTCTCTCTTTCTTTCTCTCTTTCTCTCTTTCTTTCTTTCTCTCTTTCTCTCTTTCTTTCGTCCTCCAATTTTCTACGCAAGGGTAATTTGTAATACGCTATTATAGAAGAAATATTCCGACGGGATCGCAGCCCCCTCGAACATATTAAATGAAATAAGAGATTTTCGCGAATTGTTATACAAGCTTTGAAGAAAGTCTTCCGTTACGTGAATTAAGGGTTCATAGAAAATACCGAAAGTTAGACTATAGAAAATCGTCTACACGCTCGTTCGTGAATCAGAGAAACAGTTCGACGCAGGAAATTTGAACTTTTAATTAGGATCCACCGAGGATAAATTTCTTAGAACGCGATTAAAGACAACGTTGTCTATCACTGTCGACTATTCAATGCAATTACAAGAAATAGTCATCGCTAAGGGCAACTATCAGTCGTTCTCCTATTTTTTTTTTCTTTTCTTTTAAATACATAGAGAAAGATAATTACTTTCTTGACTCACATTTTCTTCGGTTTCGTAATTAATTCAGTTATAATTAATAATCTAATAAATAACTTCTTACGAATATATCTTTGCAAAATGTTTGACATTTTGTTCAAATACCGTGGCGTTATCGTAGATAAATTCACTTAACGTACTCGTATGAGATATCATAAAGTTTGAGTAAAATTAGAAATATATAAATCTCACTGAAAGGTGATGGAAATGAAATTTACAAATCTTGTCGTAGGTATCGGGACTACCCCCAGAAAATAATTCGGAAACATCGTAGAGTGACACACACGCGAAAAGGGAAAAAAGAAAGATAATGCCAAAAACAATGATCGTTCTAGAAAAGTTCTAAGAAATCACCACGTAGACATTTTCACGACTTCGCAAATTTCAGAAGTCCTCGAACAGTAGAGGATCGTTGAGACTATCTAAAGCTTTCGATTCCACCGACCATGACCGATTAAAAGTAATTTGAATTATTCGATTTGACATATTATCGATCGTGGAACGAAAGTCGAACACTTTGCGTGAAAATTCATTTCGATCGGCGTTAGACAATTTTTGCAGAAACACGTAGACGTCAGTTTTCTTCGTTTTCCTTTTCCCCTTCTTTTTTCTCTTATTCCTCCTCTTTCGCAGTATCTGAACTTTCATGGGTCTACGATGTCGAGAAAAAGAAGAACATTTTGAGGCAATCAGAACTTTACACACGGCGAGTTCTCGCATTGACTACCCATCGGAAAGGGTGCACTAAATGTTTACTAAAAATAGCTTATATAAAACATCTGTTTGAGAGCGATAGATCTTTCTACTTATCTTCCTTTCATTTTTTTTGTTTTTGTTTTGTTTCTTTTATATAATCGGCATTTACAGCTTCGATCGCTTCTTATAATAAAAATACTATATAGACATGGACCTTGCACTTACGGATTACGACTTCTTTCATCATTCTTTTTTTTTCCTTTTTAGCTTTTCATTGAATATATGCGTTTTGAAATTAGTTCGCTCTGTTATCTTTTTTTTGTACTGCTCTAAAAAGACTACACTTTCTCATTTGCTTGGTTTCTTTTCTTTTGCTTATTTGTTGGGAAGACTTTAGTGACGAATGACGATCTTACGTCCTTGCACTTCCCTTTCCAACGTTTAGATGCTCGTGGCAGTTCTTTGAAGGAAAGACTCACAATGCATTCTGTTTACAGTGGTTTGAAGACTCGTCGTTTATCAAACGATACATCCATCACGAATTTTTCATTCGTTTCACGTAAAATGAAATTTTAATAAAATACTATACAAAGCGTATAACAAACAAATATATCAAAAGATCTAGTTAGCAAACAGAGATAAATGCTTTTAATTACACTATTCCCAGGAAAATTATACAAATTACGAAATATAAAATATACCTAACAGAAACAAAAAAGAAGGTAGAAAATAACAAAAAGGAAGTGAATTAATTCACTTCACATGACCAGTCAATAGTCAAGAAATAAAAACTTTCTAAAATAGCAACGCGTAAAAAAGTCTTCAAACCATTCCATACTATTACCTCTTTTCCTTTCAATTATCTATCGCGAGCACCGAATATACATCGGGACAGGATAATGGAATTTGTACTCGGTGACGCCCGATATCGCAGTCATTAACTACGATCCAATCATCGTAATCGCGATGTCGAGATGGACATCCTTCTCGCGCGGTGGAATCGTCCGTCTCGAGTATTCTCCATGGAACAAAAATCATCGTACGTACAGGTTTTGCTTGAATGCGAGCACTATTGCGAACCGAATTGGAAAAACAGGTGCGACACAACAGAATGCTCGTTACGCAATAGAAAATTATCATTCGTTCTGCTATACGGCGGCGAGACGATACTGTATTTACAGATTCATTGGCACTTTCTTCGGTTTGGAGAGTACGTCTGGTGGCGGGAATGCGATTGATTCCGATGCGTGGTCAACCGAGAGAATTTCGAGTGCGAACGCGGATCGAACGAGGATACTCGAACGGTCGTTTGTCTTCTCCTATCGAGAATTTTAGGATTTTTTGTCGTCGAAGCGGTGTTAAGATCGAGGGTATAGTATACTCAGAGAGGATAAGAAGAAGGTTAGTTGAATCGTTTAGTCTGCTATACACAGGTAGAAATTTTGATTGCCGAAGTTGCTTTGAATGTTTTTATAGACTTTGCGCAGTCCGTTTGAAAATGAATGATTTCTTTGTATGGAATGATGGTTGATAAAATATACTAATTTTTTTATACACCTTATTCTAATATTCGAACGCGCGCAATAAATAGAAGAATGCAAGACACGCAGTGCAAGTTAAAAAACGTGGCTGTACTCTCTCAGGAGAAAGTAAAGCCGTAGGAATTTGCTTTTCTTGGAAGCAAAGTCTTTTGAACGTGATTAAACTATTCGGAACACCACTCGAGTATTTTAACTGAATTTTCACATAGTTGATTTAAATACTTTACCAAAAATCACTCTATACAACGTCATCTTATATTTTCCAAACTATAACAAAGAATCCTGCGACATTTTTCACCTCCTGAATCGTGGAAAAGTGAATAATATTTGGGAACGAACAATTTTTCTCCCCGTTCGATGCGTCTCGTTCTAAGCAAGGTAGAAACCCCAGTTGCTATGATACACACGTTACTATGAGTATCTACAACGACTACGGACAGTTAATTTCCACGTCGCCTACTCCGCACGAACGTCTCATCATCCATTCTCCTCTTCGTTAAGTTCCTTATTTATGGAGTTGAACACAATTATCGCGAGAGTCTTCAATCACAATTAGACTCGCAAATAATAGCGGTTTACGTTCACTGTGTACTCGATTTCCTCTTCCACGGACTTCCTTTTTCTTTCTTCGCTGCTCGTTCGTCGATTTTCTTCGCCTTTCTCATTTTCATTTCTACATTCTTCCACGTTTATCTTCCTTCCTTTATCATAATCTCACACGGGTTGCGTCGATTAAAGTTCGATCGTCGAGAAAGATTCGGTAGGATCGAAGATGTTTTCGTGTAGAGTCGATGCACGTTGGATTACTCGAAAAATCGGCATGTACGAACAACGATGAAGCTGAGATGATTTATGTGCGTTGTGGTGATCCAGTACGGTGTAATACGAAGGTGACGAGTCATCGGATCGACGGGTGTATGTGATCGACCTTAAGATCGACGCATTCGTGGCGGAGGCGTGACCGATCTGACCGGTTGTGTTCAGCGTCGTTTCATCTACGTTTGAGGTAGAGTAATTCGGGAAAGAGAACAAAGTGGAGTGTCACCGATGGATGATAGAGTAGCAGAGAAACCTTTGACAGTATAGTATTTTGTTCTTTTCTTCAGCCGATTTCGAGTGTTCGATCGCCTGGTCGCCGTTGCTGCTCTGTCCGCCATTACTTTGCTCCTGGTATTTGGCTTAATACCTGGAAACGATTCAAACCATCAAACGTTATTTCACGTTGAAATGCTGTGTAATAACTAAGGTGACATACAGATAAGGCGTGTCGGTTAGTGGTGGGGCCAGTGCATCTACGTTAAGTTGCGAAGAGGTTTATCATTGACGTTAATAGTAAGTTAATCAATCGTACATAAGAAAATGGAACATTTAAGTCTCACGATTGCTAAAAATGAAGCTTGATATCGACAGGAAGTATCTTTTCAATAGATCGCTTATCCATTATTATGACAAGAGTTCAGCGGATAAAACAAGACTTCATGCATGGAATCGTTACTTTCATGTAAATGACTTTCCTCGCCTTTCATTTCACTTCTTCTCGTATAGAAAATTGTTTTACAATTTACAACAGGATAACGAACGCGATATCATTATGCATCTTACATAACAACAGTATCTCCAACACAAAACCTTCTGCCCAAATGTAGTTACTACATTACTGGTGCAACTTTTATTTAACTCTACGGTACTTCTGATACCGAAAGTTAGCTGTATACACTTTCTAGGAGGCCGGTGGCCCCTCGAACATACTTTTGAAATATCTACACCGGTCAGTGCTTGAACAGCTGGAGGTACTTGCCCCACAAGGCGTGTAATTTCTCCGCTGGTCGCATCATTTCCGCCCAGAAGAACGATTTCCTCTGTTCTCGCCAATGGTGCAGCCACCTCCGCGGCAATCTGAAAAGGTAAACGCGATTAAACTGCTGTTCTATTCGTGAATTTTCTTACATCTACGTTCATATACGTTCTATATACTCTTACGTGGATAAATTTCTATTTTCTTTCAAATATTTCGCCACTCTATAAATTTTATTGGAAATTACATCTATATCGGAGAAATCTCTCAGACCCCAGTAACACGACCTACGAAGTGGAAGGTGTCTCACCTTTGGCAAAGCGTTCAGAGTGATGTTCAAAATAGCAGCCTTGCCGTACTTCTTGTAGACGGTGGCTTTCAACTCCATATGATTAGCTTCTGACACTCCAACCGCTTCTAGGGACTGAGCCTCTGCTTCTCCGATCAATCGAATTTTCTCAGCTTCAGCTGTGGCCGCGTACACGGTCTGCGTCCTAAAAACCAGTTAAAGCACGTCAGCTACGAAAATAACGAAGCAAACCAAGCGATTTGACTTTGCTGACAGTTAATTACGACCTGATTCTCGCTTATGGTAAGGTAACGGGAATCGAACGATCAACCTGTCTATCGGCCCTTTAACGCTAAACCTACCACAGTCAAATCACAGGTGATCGAAGACGAAGTGAAACTGTGCAAAAATGGAACCAAATCAAATGGACGTTGAAAAATTAATTAGATATATGGGAGAGCAACCCCGAGGGCAAATGATTATGACAATAACGTTGGAATAATTTTTAAAAATGGTCACCTAGGCTATGGTAGGTTCAGTGTTAAATTCGAATGTCTCATCGATTTGTTTATCAATTTGAGAATTTTCTTTTAAGCCCTCCTTTGATCTGAATACCGACTTGAATATCTTGGATCACATTTTGCATATAATATGCAAAGTATAAGATGGTTTTTCATTAATTTTGTACCTCCGGTTCAAATAACGAAGCTCGTATTTCCTTTTCAAATTAATATGCTTTCTTTAGAACTGAAACGTTCGATGAAAATTAAAATACCGAAATTTAGAAATAGGATGCAAGGTACTTCATTTTCCATTAATTTTGTATTATTTCTCAATTTTCCGTCCTTCGTATATGCTTAGAAGTTTCGCTTAAGAAATTAGACAGGTCGAATGTTGGAATTACCTCTTTCCTTCGGCCACTTTGCCAATTTTGTAATGTTCAGCCTCCGCGGGTAATCTCACAGTGCTCTGAAGCTCGTGTTCCTTTCGACGGACTTCCTGTTCCTCCACCTCTATCTGTTTGCGCCTCTCCACCACCTGGATCTGAATTTCTTCGTTTCGTATCCGTTGCCTTATCTTCGCTGCTTGAAGCTCGTAGGCCAGCTGTGCCTCTGCTTTCTACACGGTGATCGAAATTAACGTAATCTTATTCCCCAAATTCCACGTCTCGTTACGATTAGGATGAGAATATCTCGTGGAAATTCCGACTTACCGCTGTGTTCACCTCCTGATCGAAATTCGCCTTCTGCAGCTGAAAGAGTCTGGCGTTGTCCTCGATTTTCGTGTCGGTATTGTACTTTATATCCATTGCTGCTTTCTCGCATTCTGCTTCCTATCGATTCGTTAAGAAGTTGAAGAAATTCCATATATATTTTCATCAAAATAAGAAGAAAGTATTTACTAATTTTTATGCACGGTGAATAATTTGCAACACTTCTACAGGGTGTCTTAACACATTGAGCGCCGGTCCTGTGAAAACGCGGGTTTCTAAGTTTGTCACTTGACTCTCGCCCTCACTCACGATGATGAGGATTGTTTTTGCTCGTATGGGTGTCTTACACGTCAATTTGCATTTACTTGTCACGTTTACGACAATCCGCATTTGTTACACTCCGAAAATAAAACGTATACGATGGTTCAGAAACGATCAAAGCAATAATCACTCTCGAGCAGTGTATTCCTTAGTTAGTACCTCTTTCGTAGGTTCACGCTCTTCGTTGAACAATATAATAAGTCTTATTATTCTGTAACTTTTTTCCCATATAATATGAGTGAAGTTTTTAACGAGTATATTGCTCACCCTCTATCAGATTATTCGATACATTCAGAAGATTCTGACATACGAGTCGAGGACAGTGATAGCGATTTGGGTCCAAGGAGAATATCAAGAGCTGTTTCATTACGATATTCGAGTGATTCCGATGATTCTAGTAATAGCGAAATGTTTATAGAATGACGAATAGTGCAATCGAAATATAGTATTTTAAGAAAATGTATAAGTCTTAAATATTTTCTTTAGCTATTCATTATTCGGAAACAAGCGAATGTGGCCGGTGCTGAGGTTTTAAATGTCTCATATGTCGCCCATATTAACGCTCAATGTGTTAATTTTTCATTTCGATAAATATTGCATAAATTATTCGTCTACGTTGAATAATAACACTAGGTTTTCTGTCTACACATATAAACAGAATAACATATACTAGATTAGTATATAGAAGTAATACATATATAGATTTATACTCGTGTTGAAATCGTTAGAATCTCAGACGAGAATTTTGCAACACCCTGTAGACGAGGATGAAATCGAGGTGACAGTGACGCAGCGTGTCACTTATTGCGAGTATAGAGGGTCCTCCGGTTAATCGCGTATGAACGTACCCGAATGCCAGCGTCGCGGTTCGCCTCTGCGACGCCGACGTCGGCGTCCCGTTTAACAGCCGCAGTTTGTGCCTTGCCAAGCGACGCCAAGTATTGAACGTCGTCGTAGACGTCTTTTATCGTGAACGACAGAATCTCGATACCCATGCGGCCGATGTCTGGCGCGGCTACCTCTCTCACCAGCGTCGCGAATTGATCTCGATCCTTGTACACCTCTTCCACGGATAACGTGCCTGTAAAATTGTCAAATATCCACCATTACCCCGTGCTCTTCGCTTCTTATCCTTTTATACCTCTTAATTTATGTTAATTAATTAAACAATTAATACAGATACGTTCGCGTCTCGATACTTCTGGGGTCTGAAATAATTTTTAACCATCGGGATTTTGGAACTGATCGCTATCCTTGTATCTTCAGGCAAAGGTATAGTGTAGTGCAGGAGAAAAGGATAGAATTTTTGCGATAGTATTTCATACCGAGCAAATTATTAGCATTTTAATCCTATTTGGTGGAAATGTCGTTATATGAGTATCCTGCAAAATTTGAACTAAATCGGTGACCCCAAACCCTTGCAGTCTCGTTGTGAATCACGTAGCTACTTCAGCGTAGTTAGGACTCTTCATAGTGATCGAGATCCGGTGATTTATCGAGTCTAATGCTTCGAACGTTCACCTAATATTGCACGAAGATGACCCTCCAGGGTCGAGAGGATGGTCGACTTGATTTCGTAAACGCTTTTCCCCAGAAACTGTTCGCTGGCAGTGTGCAGAAGTTCATCCGCCTTCATGATCTTGCACTGTGCTACTCCGGTGACGGTCAGAGGCACTCCCTGGGCAGTTTCCACGTTTTCGCAGACAGGGTTCAGTGTCATGACTTCGAGGGAGAGTCGTTGCACGTCGGTGACGAACCACCACGTGAAGGCATAGCCGCCGACGATGGTCCTCTTCTTCATGGATCCGCAACATCCTCCTGCAAAAACACGATCGAGAAGCAAATTTAGTGGAATTTCTCAATTATTCTAATAGTAATTCGATTGGAAGTGTTGGGCCTGGGGACCCACACGATCTCGCGGAGAAAGCCTGACTTTCACCAGGGGTCAATCGAATCGTTTTGGGCCCTTAGCAAAGAGGAATATTATTATTATTAATTAATAAATTATTCTATTTATCCCCACCAATCCCAGTCTCTACAATATATTAATATAATAATATTTAAATATCGACATCGATTCGCAATAGAATATTTTAAACGAAAAGATTCGAACTATCTAGAAAATTCTTCTCCATCTCTCGCTCTCTCTCTTACACTTATTAACACACGCTTACTTTCCGAAGATTCTCACGAAACTGTTTCATTCTGGCACATTCTTCTAAACACTCTTTGTCAACATTCACACTAGATTCCACTCGCACATATTATATTTATATAATACCAAATAATTTTCATTTATTCTACCTCAATACCATTCGACACGTAAAACGAATACTCGCAGATATCTTAAAAGCTCGATATAAATTTAATAAATCGATATACGTATTGATCTTAAAAATTTGATTAAAATTAACAAAGTAAATTAACATAGTTAAGAAAGAAATAAAATTATCACGAGACACTACCACTTACTCGTGACTCGATCAACTACAGGTAGTCCCCCTATAACACGGTTTCGCTATAACACGATTCATAAATTGCGGGAACCGTTCTACAACACGGCATCCTATAACACGGTTTCGCTCTAACACGATAAGAAAATTGCGAAAACATTTGCACAACACTGTACTTCTACATGAGCAGTGACGACGAAGAAATTTATTAAATTAAAATTGCGTTAAATTAAAATAATACTTCTGTTTTTTTTTTTGCTTTGTGTTGTACATACATTTATATTTTTAATAAAAATTAAGTTGTTTACATAGACTTAAAATAAAAATTTGTTTTTAGTAAATTTTTGGAACGTAACCTCCCTTTTTGTACTGGCTCTGGGTCTCGTACAACACGGTTTCACATAACACGGCAATTTTTGGGAACCTATCTACCGTGTTATAGGAGGGTTACCTGTATTTCAGAATAGCGCAAAGGTAATTAGCCATTTTATGGATCTCAGGTACTTATTGGCAATAATTATCGTGCGAATAATAATCGGTAATAATTAGCAAACATTTCAGCAATTAATGCCAAGTAATTAATGTTCCATCAGATTATATTTACAATAAATAATAAAATTATATAATTATAACATAATATATATAGTAACCGATACAATTAATCCACCGTGGTCAGTAATCCTCGAACACCTTTATTCCCACAGAGAAGTTCACGAAAGTAGACCACGCTTCCAATACAAAGCAACGAACGACGGAATACGCGGACTTTTCCTCCGGCATTGTTTGTCACAAAGCCACGATTCGATTTGTGATTCAACGATCGTTAAACCCGATACATAATCGAGATGGTGTTGCAACGGTAAGTAGGCCGACCCCGTATAGCGGCCGGCCATCTTTTTACCGTAAGTCCGCTCGATGACGTCAAAAATCGCTCCTCGAATGCGGGGCGACGCGTTCACCGCGGACGTGACGCGTCTCACGTAACCCACCTTTGTTGATTTTGAAATCGTTCGAATTTTTTCCCAACTCGCCCACCTGCCTTCAAACCGTTCGAGTCCCAAAGCAGCGCTTCAGACTTTCGGAAGGACACGGTCGGAAATCCCGAACAGCGCGATAACGCTTGCCTTAATCGAGTGCGACGAAGCCCAAACGGCGCGATAGCGCTTGTTTAACCCCTTGACTACGGCAGATTTTGATACGTAGCGGCCATACTATACGGCAGGAATTGAGATACGATGTGCGCCATTTTTGTGAAAACAAGCGCCCTCCGTGTCAGAAAGCTAAACTACGCCGAGCGCCTATAGATAAATTTCTAAGCGCCCATAGGCGCCCATAGTAGCCAAGGGGTTAATTCAGTAGCCAGGGGGTTAACCTTGCATACACGCGCTCAGAAATTTAGCTTTTGTGACACGGAGGGCGCATCTCTACCCAAAATTTTGCCGTTCTCGGCGGACATTGTAAATGATTTCCTACCCGTGTGGTACGACCGGCGCGTTTCAATGTCCGCCGTAGTCAAAGGGTTAACCACTTGCGCTTTAAAGACGTGCCACGCACGCCGAGATGCTTTTGTTCAAAAGCCGCCAGCGACGTGTATACCACGCCAACGTAACGCCTTACCGCGTTATATTGTAAAGCGCGGCATGGCAACCGAAAGTTAAATCGTAGCGCAAGTGGCTAATTTTATGTAGAAATATCCCAATCGTCGCAATAGCGCTTGTTGGTACTATGTGACGTGCATGCATCAGCAAAGTTCAGCGCGATCGCGCTGCTTGGGACACTAACGTTAATTAAATATTTCCTTTCGTACCATAATCACGCGTTTCGTTATTTACTCCTATTTTCCTTCGCCCTTTGTCAATAAACGGAGGCTCTGTTTGTTGGAACTAAGTGAAAGAGCGAGTGTAGAGAAAAATGACGTAGGATAAATCGACGACGACCTTAAATTTGGAATAAGGATGAATTTGGGAAAATATACGATACATTCGGTATTTATATGATATGCATATATATATTATATATATGTCATTATGATGTATGTGATATTATATATTATTTAAGTATCATTTATACGTGAAGTATATAATATTGGGTATTTAATGATATTTCGGGAATTTTCTTTATTAGATGCTTGCTACAGTATCATGCTTGTGATCTAGTGATTTAATGATAATCAGATGGGACGTGCTTGTGTGCTGAGAAAGGTAAGTATAAGAAAATGTAAAGAAAGTATGCAGGAAATATTATTTAACGATTAATTTAAGTGTTAATATCATGAATAAGAAATATTGGTATTTATGGTAAGTGGATAGAATATATTTTGTGCAACAAGTGTGATGGAATAAAAAATTGAAATTAGAGAGGAAATGAATATCCTTGAATTTTATTATATTACGGAGGGATTATACTACGCATGCAATAGAAACGAGTTTATTTACATGGTAACAGTGTGTTCCTAAGGTTTAAGCAGGAGACTGGGAAAAGAACTGTTAATTCGCCTGTTACACGTGTAGAATAATTATACCGTTTAAAGTGGAATAATAATGATATTCAGAAATTCTCGCTCGTGTTGCGGTAATTCGATTGCCGTTCACAACGGTCATTAAACTTACTGAATTCTTCTTAGAGATTAATCTAATAGCCAAATATCTATGTATTGTATTTCACTCTACACGAACTCACTAAAATAAATAACGGAACAATCTCGAAGACATTTTGGAAATGAAAGTACAGAGAAAGTATATTGAAACTCAGATCCTCGGGACGTTTAAGCTCTTGCAATGCTCTCACGAAGAAAAAGAAGTGCAACAAGGAGAAACATGTTATATCCGGTGGAAACTTATATAAGAGCGACGAAGAGAAATATTATAAAAATAAGGTGAATGAAAAATCAAAACCGTGAACGATGTTGTTATTGCGAGCGCAGAAGTAACAGATATCCCACAATGTGTACTTATTGAGGAAATCATGTATGAATTGTTCATCTCACACAAAGTTGTACAACTATATATAATGTATGTAATACTAATAAAAATATTGACTAAATAATTTATACATAAACCACAATGTTCTACATCCACATACAGACACAATAAAGGCGAACACCGTCGAACCCGGCATCACAATTTCTCAACTCTGGTTACTTCCCGAAATATTAAACGTTGCACTAAGCTTGCAAGCGCGAGTTGAAAGGCAAGATTCTGACAGGTAAGAGCTTATGGTGTGATCTACGAGCCTGCATAGTCAAATTGAGCTTTCGCCGACCCGAGCTTTATCGGTCGGTAAGAAAGGACATCTATCTGCGCCAGATAAACCACGAGCGAACTGAGATTTTTCAGGGTCGGCCGAATCGAGTGCGGATTAGTTCGTTGTGATGGCAGGAGGCCTGTGTATCACACATGTGATTTGCGCGGGCGTGCGAAGCGCGGTTCGTTTTTTAGAGCGTCACAAACACGGAGATATAACACAACAGAATTTACGTACTGTTCAAACTTTCAACCGTTGCACTGAGCTTGCAAGCGCGAGTTGAGAGTCCAGATTTTGACAGGTAAGAGCTTACGGTGTGATCTACGAGCTTGCGTGGTCAAGTGAGCTTTCGCCGACCCGAGCTTTTTCGGTCGGTAAGAAAGGAAACCTATCTGTGCCAGATAAACCACGAGCGAACTGAGATCTTTCTGGGTCGGCCGAATCGAGTGCGGATTAGTTCGTTGTGATGGCAGCAGGCCTGTGTATCACACGTGTGATTTGCGCGGGCGTGCGATGCGAGGTTCGTCTTTTAGAGCGTCACAAACACGGAGATATAACACGACAGAATTTACGTACTGTCCAAACTTTCAACCGTTGCACTGAGCTTGCAAGCGCGAGTTGAGAGTCCAGATTTTGACAGGTAAGAGCTTACGGTGTGATCTACGAGCCTGCGTGGTCAAAGTGAGCTTTCGCCGACCCGAGCTTCTTCGGTCGGTCAGAAAGGAAACCTATGTGTGCCGGAAAAACCACGAGCGAACTGAGATATTTCAAGGTCGGCCGAATCGAGTGCGGATGAGTTCGTTGTGATGGCAGGAGGCCTGTGTATCACACGTGTGATTTGCGCGGGCGTGCGATGCGAGGTTCGTCTTTTAGAGCGTCACAAACACGGAGATATAACACGACAGAATTTACGTACTGTTCAAACTTTCAACCGTTGCACTGAGCTTGCAAGCGCGAGTTGAGAGTCCAGATTTTGACAGGTAAGAGCTTACGGTGTGATCTACGAGCTTGCGTGGTCAAGTGAGCTTTCGCCGACCCGAGCATTTTTCGGTCGGTAAGAAAGGAAACCTATCTGTGCCAGATAAACCACGAGCGAACTGAGATTTTTCAGGGTCGGCC